TACCAGTACCCAGTTATGCCAGCACCATTTGTTGAAGATGCTTTCTTTTTTCCATTGTACAGTTTTAGCTTCTTTGTCAAAAATCAAGTGTTCATAGGTGTGTGGGTTAAAATTAGGGCTTTCGATTCGGTTCCATTGGTCTACCTGCCTATTTTTGTGCCAATACCAAGCTGTTTTCAGGACTACAGCTCTATAATAGAGCTTGAAGTCAGGTATGGTGATGCCTCCTGAAGTTCCTTTATTGTATAGGGATGTTTTGGCTATCCTGGGCCTTTTGTTTTTCCATATAAAGTTGATTAATGTTCTTTCCAGGTCCTTGAAGAATTGTGATGGAATTTTGATAGGGATTGCATTGAATCTGTAGACTGCTTTTGGCAAGATTGCCATTTTTATTATGTTGATCCTACCAATCCAAGAGCATGGGAGATCTTTCCATTTTCTGGTATCTTCTTTGATTTCTTTCTTTAAAGACACAAAGTTCTTGATATACAGGTCTTTAACTTCCTTGGTTAACATTATCCCCAGATATTTGATGCTGTTTTTGGCTATTGTAAAGGGTGATGTTTCTCTCTCAGTCACTTCATCATCTGTATATAATAGGGCCACTGATGTTTTTGAGTTTACCTTGTATCCTGCCACATTGCTTAAGGTATTTATCAGCTCTAGGAGTAACCTTGCGGAGTTTTTTGGGTCACTTATGTAAACTATCATATCAAGGTAATTGTAGCCTCGTAGAAAGAGTTTGGCAGTGAGCCTCCTGCTTCTATTGTGTGGAATACTTTGAGGAGTATTGGAATTAGCTCTTCTTTGAATTTCTGGTGGAATTCTGCACTGAAGCCATCTGGGCCTGGGCTTTTTTTGTTTGGGAGACTTTTGATGACTGCTTCTATTTCATTAGGGGTTATAGGTCTGTTTAGATTGTTTATCTGTTCTTGATTTAGTTTTGGCAAGTGATATCTATCCAGGAAATTGTCCATTTCCTTTAAATTTTCAAATTTTGTGGAGTACAGATTTTCAAAGTATGCCCTGATGATTCTCTGGATTTCCTCAGAGTCTGTTGTTATGTCCCCTTTTTTTGGTTTGTTTTTTCTTCCATTTCTTGCATTTTTGGTTTGTTTTTTCTTCCATTTCTTTGAGGGATTTTCCTATATCCTCTTTTAGGGCCTCTATCATTTTCATGAAAGTGGTTTTAAGGTCATTCTCTTCTGCTTCGTTTGCATTGGAATGTTGGAGCCTTGCTGGTGTGGAGTCTCTAGAATCTGGCGGTGTCATATTTGTTTTTTTTCTGTTGCTGAGTGTGTTTTTGTATTGTCTCTTTCCCATCTCTTCTTCTAGTGGGTGCAGAAAGAGTCCCTTACTGGTCTGATGGTTAGGGGACCAGAGTTCCCTTTTGGTGGGTGCTAGCAAGTCCAATAATCTGGTGGTTCTTCTATTCCTTGTCTTCGTTCTGGTCCCGTGGGTGGAGAAGAAGAACAGGAATCTGGGGCGCTTAGCCTCCCACCTGGTCCCCTGGACCCTTTGCTGGATCCTGTTGTACCTGATCCTGCAGCCAGAACAGCTGCTTCCCTGGTCTCCCTGGCTCCTCTGGTTTCCTGGTCTCGTTGGTGGGAGAGAAGACCCGGAGTCTGGGGTGCTTGGCTCCTGCCGGGATTGGAAGCTCTGTGCAGTTCCCAGGCGATCCCCAGGCACTGGAACACAGGCCCATAAGCAGGGCCTGTTGTACCTGATGCCGCCGCTGGAATAGCTGCTTCCCTGGACTCCCAACTGTTAGTTTTTCTTGACTTTCTTTAAAGAATTTATTCATTTCTTCCTATTTTTGTTTGTGTTTTCCTGTATTTCATTAAGGGAGCTCCATCATCTTCATAAAGTTGATTTTAAGGTCATTTTCTTGTGCTTCAGCTGTGTTGGGATATTCAGGGCTAGTTGTATAGTAGGATAGCTGTGCTCTAGTGGTGACATGATGCTAACTGTTGTGGGTTATATTCTTACACTGGTGTCTAGGCATCTAGGTTTAGGGTGATTATATGTCTAGGTGATGATTCCTGTGTTTGTCTTTGTTAGATGGGTGTTTTGTTCTTTGGTTTCTGTTTCCTCTCGGGTCTTTTGGCTGAGATGGCCTGTGGTTGAGAAAAGGGTCTCCACCCTAATTGGAGGCTGGACTTCCGATGGCCAGCATGGCCTCTGGTTGAACAGGGGGTTTCCACCCGAGTTGGAGGCTGGAGGTCCTCTGGTCCAGCAGGGGATCCTCCAAAGCAGGAGTTGTGGTGGTAGGCTTGACTTCTGGTGGAACAGAGGTCTTCTGCTCGAGTTGGAGCACAAGCTGCTTGCATCTTTCCAAAAGCAAGTTGACAAGGGAGAGAACAGGAATTCTGTGATACATAGCACACAGTTCCTATAGTGTTTTTAAGTTGAAATTCTGTCTTCCCTGCATTACAAAAGTTATACAAAGGTCCCAACTGAGGTGGGTTTGTGTAGGGATGAATGGAGCCTAAACCCAAAGACTTCTCATTGCATAAACCCTGCCTAAGTCCTGCTTGGAGCTTTAGCAGCTTCTATATTAATAAACTTCCCATGTTATTATTAGAGGCCTTTCCCAAGACGGTCAGGCCTCTCAAGATTCACATTCACCCCTGCTTCCAGATACCTACTTGGATACAGCTTCCATGTTAGTGACAAACACTGACAAAACATGTCAGGGTCAGATGCTCTTGAATCTGAAATCCAGGTCAAAGACACACCAAAAACTCATTAGTTAAGTACCATTGTTTTATTGAAAGTAGGAATCATGCCTCTTTCATATGAAAAATGTTACAAAAACCAATAGTGTATGACAGTTTGCATGTTAAGTGCACCTGTTACTATAGTTTTTCTTGTCCTGCGAGGTTCCACCTCCGTTCAGCACCAAATACACACACCAATGCTATATTAGTTATACAGCTGTTGGCTTGTGGCTAGGAAGTCTTATTGGCTAGCTCTGTCTTAATTATTAACCCATAACTACTAATTTCTCTGTGTAGCCCTAGCAATCCTGGAACTGTCTTTGTAGATCAGGCTGACCTCAAATCAGAGATTTACCTGCCTCTGCCTCAGAGTGCTGGGATTAAAGGCACAGTGTGCCATCGCCGCCCAGCTTGTGTATCTTATCTCAAAGTTGGTCTCTAATTTCAGGAGGATTCTTTGGACAGAGCTCTGTTTCCCTCTGGAAGCACTAGGGCTCCTGGTCACACAACTACTGGACATATGAAGTCACTACTGCTGAGCACCTCTTCTGGGCATCCCTTTCTTAGATGCCTCTCACATTTTCTTTCTCATTGATTGAAGGGAGGAAAATGCTACTAAGTCACTCATAGCCTGAGGGGGCCTTACTCAATCACTTAGAAAGTTACAGAAAAAAATGTGAGTCTCGCTGACTCTAGCAGTCTTACTTCTCCCTGTTCTTCATCAGCAGGCAATCTCCCTTAAGGTAACTCTCAGCACTGTAGTTAAGATGCAGGCTCACCATTTTTTATTTCTTGGAATCTACTGGTGTAACACATGATTCCTACACTGAAGAGCTTTACACAGGGAGGCATGCTCTCAGGCTCATGGACCTTGCAGATGAAGAGAAGAAAGGATTTCTCCTCTCCTCACACACTTCATGCTTGTTGGAGCAGGGTCTCGGTCATCTGCTTATTTCTCTGGCCATCTTCTAAGGAACCCATTTCCTGCCTGCCTTTGGGATTCTGGTGTGGGTGCTTTTGGAGGCAGCATTAGCTTCCCCTTCTACCTGTGCAGAACTGCAAGATCAGCCGGGGGTGAAGTTCCTCGGGTATTCTTGGGTTGTTTCCCACCTAGGCTCGAGCATGCACACGTGTGCATGACTGTTGCCCAGCAGATCTCTTGGGGTCTTTGTTTCCCAAGCTCACTCTGAGCATCTCACAGCTCCTGTGGACATCGTATTCCTCCGCTCTCCTGTCAGTCTCACCGCACAGGCACTTTGTTGTCCCACTGTCCTCAGCTACAACACTTGCCTGCAGTTGTTTTCCAAAACCATCTTCTGGGGAAGTTTCTAGAACCAGAGAACGCTCAGTCAGGTCAAAAACAGAGAAGTCTAGTCTCAACTAGGGGCCACTGTTACACAAGTTCTAATTGGTCTTAATAATAAAAACCTGGAGTCAGATATGGGGGTAAATGCTGAAAGATCGGAGAGACAAAGGAGCAAGCCACAGCCATACCTTACCTCGCCAACATTCCAGCTGAAAAGAGAGCAAGCTCCTGTCTGCTCTCACCGTACATCCTTCTCTCTGCCCAGCCATCTCACATCCTGTCTGTCTGTACAGACCTCCACCCCCATGGTTAACCAGTGGCTAGCTCCACCCTCTGATCTTCAGGCAAGCTTTATTTGTTAGAGTACAAACAAGATATCACCACAGGCCACCAATTTCCTGGGGTTGAGGTTTTGCAGGAGCAGCAGCTCCATTCTGCAACCTATAGTGTGGGGCTTTGGGTTGATTTTTAAGGTTACCATGAAGCTAAGATAAGAAATGTTATAGAGTAAATTAAAACAACACAAATCTTAGTGTTCTTATAGAAATCGAGTTGGTTTTCTTAAATAAACTATTCTGGAATGTAGCAAGCCTTTGGTTAAATTTCCACAGTTTGATAATTCATTGTTTTATGGAGGGATGAACTCTGATGTCTTCACTCAACCATTTTCATTGACATCAATATGTTAAAATGGTCTTTAATCTCTCATCTCAATGACAATAGACTAGTTAAATGTTAATCATGGACATGACATGTATGTCACTTGGAGAAGTCAGTGTTTTCCTTCCATCACTTAAATCCTGTGGATTGAACCTAAATTGTCAGGCTTGGTGGCAAGTGTCTTTACCTGATAAGCCATCTTGTTGGCCCACAGAGCAATTTTTAAAAAGTTCCATGCCAAGGAAATTAATCTTCATAAGTAGACTTATGAATATTGATGATGCTGGTAATTTCAATTACATTGTATTTTTCAGAATTCTAAGCCGTAATCCTCTCACAATTGTTGAAGATCCCTACTTTTTTAAGTTGCCAGCATTAAAATATCTGTAAGTATTGTGATAATGGTATGGTTTGTGAGATGATTCCTATTCCACTAAAAAATATTTTAATCATTTCTTATTAGTTCTTTTATGTCATATTACCCTGTGTTTTGATCATATCCTTCCAGCTCTTCCCAAATACACACCCCTTCCCTACCCACCCAACTTTGTGTTCTTATACTTTTGTTTGTGGCTTTCCAATGGAGCATGGTCTGGGGCCACACTCTTAAAAGCAGGCTTTTCCTTTTTCAGTTGCTATCAGTTGTCGATAACCCCTTAGCTAATGGCATCATTCCAGGCCCACTGCCCTCTTTTTGTCTGGCTTGTGTTTATGCAGGTCTCATACATACATGCTGTCACCAATTCATATATACAAGAGCCCTGATGTGTTTGGAAAGCACTGTTGCCTTGTGGTCATTCTCTTCCACAAGGATGCCTGAGCCTTGAGAGAGAAGTGTGATGTAGAATGTCCCAGTTAGGGCTGAGTATCCTGCAGTCTCTTATTTTCTAACCTTGATTTCTATGGTCTCTGTGTTGATTGCTGTGTGTTCCAGAAATGTTACCCTATAGATTCAAAGAGAAGTTGTTAGACTTGCATTTAGTACTATGTCCTTTAGCAGAGTGATAATAGTCGGTTCTCCCCTAGGGCCTATGACCTGTCTAGTCACAGATTCATGCTCCAATAATGTGCCAGGTATGGGTTTCTGCTTGTGGAGAAGACCTTACATCAGGAAATGGTTGGTTATTCTTAAGGTGTTTGTGTATTCCTTGCTCAGTCAGTTGTTATTTTAGCTTGCAGAATTCATGGGTAAGTAAGATTGATGATTAATTTTCTCCTTGGGTATTGTGTATAGCACCTTCCAACACTATTAAAGCTAGCCAGTAAATATGAAACCTCCAGTTGAGTACTCAAGTATGTGGTATCTTCCACAGTAAGGTATTACCATCAAGTTATGGAAGATAATGAAGAGCATTAGCAAAAACCTATTATAGTTGGAGATCTAGGGGACCCATTCCCTCTAATGGGCTTTTTATTTGTTAGGTTGTGGAATCTCATAAGGAAATTGTTTACCTATTATGGGGCTATTCCACTTAAACTGTGTGTGTGTGTGTGTGTGTGTGTGTGTGTGTGTGTGTGTGTGTGTGTGTGTGTGTGTGTAAAATCTTCTATAGTAGTAGGTTTCCATACAGGGTATTCCCTGTATTCTGTCCTCTACCCTGTCTATCAAAGAGTAGTCTGCCTTAAGGATAAAAAAGTCAGTTTTATTTTTAACTTAATTATTTTAAAATGCTTTTAAAGGGCTGGAAAGGTGGCTCAGCAGTTAAGAAGTGTGTGTGCTACTCTTGCAGAGAACCTGAGTTTGATTCCTAGCACCTAAGTTGGCTGATCATAATTGACTTTGTTTCCAACTCTGGAAGAATCTGATGCTTCTGGACTTCATAGACACCTATACTCACTTACAGATTCCCACACACAGACCCACATACATACATACAATTTAAATAAAAAGAATCCTTTCAAATGTTATTAACAAAGAAAATGGTGAAGAAAGGTTAAATAATGGGCAAGACATTTGGCCTGGGGAAAGACCAGTATTGAGGATCAGGAAGAGATATGTAATATGGATGAAGCTTGTCTCTGCATTTGATGCCTTTAGCTGCTCTATTGTGAGGACTAGCATTTTAACCCTAACACCCATGTGGGTAGCTCACAACACACTCTAACTTCAACCCCAAGAGATCCAATCCCTTCTGGTTTCCATGGCACCCACGCACCATTAATGTGTATCTATTTAGACACACAGATATATACACATACAAAATCACCCAAGATAGATGAATATATCATTATCTTAGAAAGCAAAGAAGCATAAGAACAGAAAATATGAAGTAGTAGTTATGTGGCAAATGCAATATGAAAATGAGAAGTACGAAGATGGTTTCTATTCTAGTAAACTCTGTAGAAGTTTCTTCTCTGATGGATTTACTTATTCCTGGAACAGATAGTTGTGTAGGAAAGACAGAGTTTAAGCCACCACTCGTGATGAAAATGGGTCCTCATGAAATCTGGCTTTCTCCTTCAGAGACCTGGGAACAACACAAGTACAACTGACAACGCTTGAGAACATCCTCACGATGACTCTGGACCTGGAGCTTCTGTAAGGTTTATTTTCTTAGAATAATTTCACCTAGCTCTTTATGAAGTTTGTTTTATTCTAGTTTTTGTTTTATGAATTTCTTGTGAGGATTATTGAGATACAGTTTTTATGCAATGATGTTCAAGTGCAGAGTATGATGAGTTTGCATAGTTAGCTAACCATTACTAGAGCTAAGGTAACCATGCAAGCTCTGTCACCCTCAAAAGGCCCATCATGGATGGTGAGATGGCTCAGTTCATGACACTATGAAAGCCTGGTGACATGAATTTAATTCCTAGAAACTACATTAAAGTGGAAGGAGAGAGCCAGCTCAACAAAGATGTCCTCTTACCTCCACATGAGTGCTGAAACACACACATACACACATATACTAGTAAAAGTTCAAAGGCCACTCATGTGCCTTTTCCATTATTTACTCCTCTCACGCTTTAACCCATTACTATTCTTATTTCTGAGCCTATAGTTTTCCTTCCACAGAACATCTCATAAATGACACCCCATAGTGTGTGGCCGTTTGGATCTGTCTTCTCTCACTGAGTGTGGTCTTTAGTATATATCCTCACCAGTGTATGGCAATTGCTCCATTTGCCTGGTCTTTATTTTTCATTTTTTAAAGCATTTATCTGGATTGGGGGTGTAGCTCTGTTGGTAGAATGTTTGTCTAGCATGCATGATGCCCTTGGTCTATATACACCAAGCATGGTGGTGACTACCTGTCCTCCCCAGCACTCACAAAGTGGAAGCAGGAGAATAAAAAAAATTAAGGTATCTTTGGATACTTAGGGAGTTCCTGGCTAGCCTGGGATACATGTAAGATGGTCAACAACAAAAAAGCTGCCTTCCTACTATCTGATACCTAGTAATGTTTGTGTCCTTGTAATCTAATTTGAATTTATTTAATAACGGGTGCTATGGAAGTGTCTAGTTATATGCAGATATGTTTTAGTGGTGTGTATTTAAACCTATGTCCATATCGGAATTGGATGTTTTTGTTCTTGTTGAGCTTTGATTTTAGTCTAAGTCTTTTGAGACAGGGTCTCTTCAATAGAGCCTAGGTTGCCCTTGAACTTGTTGCTATTCCCCTGCCTTTGCCTCCTGTCTTTTCTGCTTTACAGGCTCTTGCCACCATACCCAGTTTCTTACTAAGAATCTCTTTTTCTATATTTATGTTGTGTACATGTATTTTTGTGTGTGAATGTGTGTGGTGAGTACATGCTATGGTACACATGTGAAGATCTAAGGACAACTTCCAAAAGTCTCCTTCCACCATATGTGTTCTGAGTTTTGCAAATGCCCATACCCACTGAGCCACCTTGCTGAGTTAAGTTTTCTTTTCTGTACTCTGCATATAAGTCCTTTCTCCCAGATATGTGTTTAGTGTCTTCTCTCTGGTTGTGGCTTGTGTCTTCACTAATAAAGTATCTTCTGAAGAGCACCTGTTTTTAAATTTTTATGTATGAGGCACTCTAGCAATGTTTCTTCTATAGTGTGTGCTTTTTTTGGTGACTTACATGATAAATCTTTTTGTGAGTTACCCACTGTTGGAACTGCAGCACAGGTGGGTAAGAATGTCACAGCAGTAATAGTCTGGATGGTACCAGCTTGGAAGTATTGCAGAGGGGGACCAAATAGTTGGGGTTTGCTGTGGCAGCAATTGTTGCCCCTCCCCCTTTTCAGGATGCCCTGGCCAATGCTATCCCCTGGCCCTCCCTGCGAAGGACCAGGCCATGGCTATCAGTCTGGCATGATTTCTGCCTGCCACATTTTCCTCTTGGGTAAGGTGGCGCAGGTCCCTCCATGGTTCTCTGGTTCTAGGGAGAAAAACTCAGGAGGCAGGTGACAGCTTTGCAATGAGGTGTCTGAAGATTCACTAAAAGCTGCTCAAGATTCAAGTAACAGACAAGCTCATGATCAGGTGATACACAGTGCATGTGTTCTCCAGCCTGACAGGAACCATGTGGCAACTTCTTCAATACTCCTTCCACACGCCTGGAGACTCTCCCCAGAAGAATAACTGCTACAAAGCAGCTTCAGGTGAAATGTGCTCACAGAGAAATCCAGGTTTCCTGAGGAAGATGACAAGAACCTGGAGCGTAAATGTCAGCACTGTAGCAGCCACTATGTGACAAGAGACAAGACTTCATCATGATGATGCCACAGATGCAGGCGATGAGCAGCACGGTGAACACGAAGAGGAGCACACTGCAGGCAGAGAAGGCAGTAGCAGGAGCAGAAAAAGAAGTATCTCCAGAAGAGCCCCAGTGCATCCCAAAGGACTCATGGCATTCCCACTCTCCACCTCTAAAGATACAAACAATGAGTCAGTGTAGGAATACGGTGACCCAACTTGAAACACCAGTGGCTGTTTATATTAAAGTGGCATTTTAGACTTTAAACACCCTGTCTTTTTTGTTAAAGCTGTACTTTGAACCCACAACTATTTTACCAGTCCTTTCGTAACAAAAACATGTATGCTGAAGTCAGAGCCAAGACAATGACTGACCCCTTTTCCTTTGGATGTTCTGAAATCATGTACTATCACAGGTATATAACTGACTGGACAAAAGAAAAGGAACAAAATGTTGTAATAAAATGATTAAGAAAACAGTGTAAAGGGAGAGGGGTGACTTTACTTAGTCACTAATAAAGTACCCATGAATCCTTTCTTCACTTCTTTGATCCACTGAAAGCATATGGAAGCAGAGAATACTGGGCAGAGACTCTCATCCTGTCAGCCTCTGGCTCTGGAATTAGACCCTTTTGTAAGCAGAGAACAGTAGAGTAATACCACACTGTCCTTACAATGTGTCTTTACAGTCCTTTGGAGTGTGTGTGTGTGTGTGTGTGTGTGTGTGTGTGTGTGTGTGTCAGAGAGAGACAGAGAAAGAGAGAGAGACAGGCAGAGAGAGAGTGAGAGAGAGAGAGAGGAGAGAGAGAGAGAGGAGAGAGAGAGAGAGAGAGAGAGAGGAGAGAGAGAGAGAGAGAGAGAGGAGAGAGAGGAGAGGAGAGAGAGTTTTCTAGGGGTTGAATGGGTTGTAGTACACACACTCCAAGGTCAAAGGTGTAGTGATTCATGCTTGTGTTTATTTATTCATTCAAGTCTAGAGAACTTTGAACTGTCTTCATCCTTGTCACTAATGAAACTGTGTGGGTGACCTGAACAGGATGTGACAGCTAGTAGAGCAAGGCCTGCATAGAGTAAACCCTATTGTTTTTTCCTATCACCTGTGCAGGGCAGGAGCCTGTTCTGTGAGCTGGAGACCATGTGTTGCTGTTGGAGAATGTATGGCTAAACACAGAGGGCCAAAATCTCCCCCCTTTTCCCGAGAATACTGGTCAGAAGAATGGAACTTTCTAGCTTCCTGTGTACAAGCCAAGTCTCAGATATCCCCTCCATTCTTTTTGAAGCCCTAGGCTTGATGACCAGTGGTGGTTAGCATGAGGGGTGGACCATGGTCTCTGATCACTGGGGATGACTGTGTTTATACTGTGTACTCACCCTACCCGTGCTGAACATGGTGGCTTCAGTTTATTCAGAATAATATATACTACTTAAGTTGTAAAACATGGATTAAAAATGGCCTGTTACATAATCTTCACAAAAGATTTCTCCTGTGCTTTCTTTCAGAAATTAGGTACTTAGATTTATGTTTAGTAAAATTTTGTGTATAGTGTGAAGTCTTTCTAGCAGTTTTAGAAAAAACATATATTTCTATAAGGCCATATGCTATTTTTGTTGTTTTGTTTTACTTTGTTGTTGTTTGGGGATTTTTTGTTTTGTTTTGGGTTTGTTTTTGTTTTTTTTTTTTTTTTGTTTTGTTTTTTTTGGTTTTACGAGACAGGGTTTCTCTGTTTTGGAGGCTGTTGGTCCAGCCTGGCCTCGAACTCACAGAGATCCGCCTGCCTCTGCCTCCCGAGTGCTGGGATTAAAGGCGTGCGCCACCAACGCCCGGCTGTTTTGTTTTAAGATAGGGTTTCATCCAGGCGTTGGTGGTATATGCTTTTAATCCCAGCACCTAGGAAACAGAGGCAGGCAAATCTCTGTGAGTTTGAGACCAGCCTGGTCTACAAGAGCTAGTTCCAAGACAGCCTCCAAAGCCACAGAGAAACCCTGTCTGGAAAAACAAAACAGAACAAAAGACAGGGTTTCTCTGTGGCTGTCCTGGCACTCAGGGGCTGGCCTTGAACTCACAGAGGTCCAGCTGCCTCTGCCTCCCAAGTTCTGGGATTAAAGGCTTGTGTTACTGCTTGGCTATTTAGTTCTTTTTTTTTATCATTTTTTATTTTAATTTTAAATAGCTTGTTTTACATGTCAATCCCAGTTCCCTCTCCCTCCCCTCTTCCCGCACTCCCCTTCCCCCTCCCTCCCACCCTATTGCCAAATCCTTCCACATAGGGGATATCTAGAGTCTGTCATTTTACTCTTGGTAGGCTATTTAGTTCTTTCAACTTGACAGAAAACGCAGTATACCTCTGAGGAGGGAAACTCAATTGAGGAATTGTCTCCAGCAGTTTGGCCCGTGGGCATGTCTCAAGGACATTTGTAGTTGATGTAGCAGGATCCATTCTACTGTGGGTGGTGCCATCCTTAGGCAGATGAACCTGGGCTGTCTAAGAATAGTAATTGAACAAGCTTTCTTCCATGGGTTCTGCTTCAGTTTCTGCCTCCAGGTTCATCCCTTGGCTTCCCTTAATGATGGATTGTAACCTGTAAGTCAAATAAACCCTTCCTCCGATTTGGTTGTCAGTGTTTATCACAGCACTAGAGAAGCAAACTAGAACAGCATCTGGCAGTTTGTCTGGCATTTTTCTGCAGTATGGTGGATACTTCTGTCTCTTTCTCCAGTATGGCAAGCTAAATACAAGCTTGCTATATTGCTAGTAAGAGTGTAGGGGATTTAAGTGAATATGTAGGGGATTGCAAAATGAATATGGAAAAGGTTCTTCAGTTGAACACTCTGTTACAATAACATTGATCAGGTCATTTCCTTTGACTAGTT